GAATTCTAAGTGTATTCAATTTATTCTTTCTGCTTAATATACACTATGTAAAATTTCCCATACATTAGTTAATTTTTCTTGTTTTGAGATGAGCTGTATTTAACCCTCAATACCTGCAACATTGTATAGTTCATTTTTTATTTGGTCTCAAAATAGAAATCAAAATATATGATTTTGCTATCTTAATCTGTAACTGTATATAAGAAATGCAGTGCATTATAGTTGACAAATCTTGAAAATATTTACACCTTATTTATAAAATATATCATATATAACATTTTGATTTTCATATGTATTAATTTTTTAAAACGTGTTGAACTTTTTGGAGCAGCAGCTCTTGGTAACTTTTAGGCGAGCTTACTACAATTTTTATATTTTTCAGTTTCTGATATAGTTCAGTTTGAGAATTTTCTGCATATACCAATTTTTTAAAATGTCTAAAAAAATTTTGTATTTTCAGGGAAAATTTAAGTATTTTTTTACCTTTAGTATATGAGTATCGCGTGCAATGAACTGGAAATTGATCTGTCGGCACTATCCTTATCTTCAGGGCAGATGTTTTTATTTTATTTGGCTTATATTTCCTTACTAAATGTAGTATTTCATCTCGATGTACTCCGTCTTTGATATGATTTAAATCAAGTTCCTTGTCATTATAAATATCATGAATACACATCAAATAGTTTTCTGGTTGCTATTTTCTAATTTCGACTATGCGTAATGTATGCTTTACGCATGCGCACGTTGAACGAAATGTTTAATAAAATAAACAAATGAATATTAAGCTCTCTCTTTTTTTTTTTTTTTTTTTTTTTTTTTTTCTAAATTTTGATATCCTTTAGATCATAATTGCTCTTTATTTCATAAATTACGGTTTCATATTTTTAATTTTATAATTTCTGCATGCCATCTTACCAGATTTAAATTGATGATCTATAATCCGGAATCGCCGAAGTCTCAACAAGTCCGGATTAAAGACTTTTGACTGCATTGGTTAAGTGAAATTTCACAGCATAAAAATTTTTTTTTTTGTCCAAAGAGGTACTTGAATGTCATATTTTTGTTGGTATCACTTTTAAAATTAAAGGATGTTGCCACTACATGTTATTGTCACGTACATACCTGCCAACTTGTACGAATTTTTCGTAATTTTTACGAAAATGCGTTTGTCTTTACGATTTTACAATCGTACTCCATGGAATGAAGAAAATGGAAATTAATATTTTATTTTTTGCCAATTGCATCGTGTTTTACCGCCAACTACCAACTACTTCGAATCCAGTAACCTGCGGTTTCTCCCAACTCGCCGCTAAACCAGCCAATCCAATGCGCTGAACTTGTGGAATTACTCAGCTCGGATTCAGCGAGCGTGGATTGTCGCATTCTGGTTTTTTTTTTTTTTTTTTTTTTTTTTTTTTTTTTTTTTGCACGTGCTACAAATTTTCTTAATACGTCGTTGTTAAGAAATGAGTTAAAAAAAAAACCGTATTCTCAATATTTTCAGCTGCCTACAAAGCCGAATTTCTAACAATTAAAGAATCCTTCAAAGGAAATAACTGCATTTTGCAACGTGTGCGTGTGTGACTTCATAATAAGTCACGGTGGAAGAAGCGATATTGTGAAGCATGTTAAGTCTAAAGCATGAAGTTAATGCTTCGGCTTTGACAACGTCAAAGAAAATGGATGATTTTTTTTTTTTTTTTTTTTTTTTTTTTTTTTTTTTTAAAAAAATTCGGATGCCGATGTCATTTTGGCAGAGTGTTTGTTTACTGCATTCCTCATCAAACACAATGTGCCGCTAAGCGCTGCGCCGGTCAACTTTCCAGACGGATGTTTCCCGACTCCAAGATTGCTCAGAAATATCAAACCAGGGAACTTGTAAATTCTTTGAAAGATCATGAGAAAAAAGAATTTTTTTCAGTGTGTCAGAAGTACTTTCCTCAGCCTGTGATTACATTGTAAGGAAGTTTCCTTTGCAAATGAAGTTCTTTTAAATGCTGAATGGCAAATTTGAAACAATTGAAATTCATCTTTTGAAAAGATTCATTTTTTTATTGATAAATTTCCATTTTTTGTTAACAATTAAAGAAAATGAATGCCATAATGATGCTTTAGATGAACTACAGAACCAATTTTCTGCTGCACAGTTTGTGAAGACTGTTGCCATTCTAGAGAAGAGAGACTTGATGTCCTCGTTGGTACCTTAAAAAGAATAAAAGAGCTGATGGAACACCAAAATATGATAGACTAGCTAGAGTTTTATGTGCTATTCTCGTAATTCCACACAGTAATGCTGAGTGCGAGAGAGTCTTCAGTGTTGTGAAGAAAAACAAAACTATGTTTCGTTTTTCAATTTCACCAAAAACTCTAGAAAACATTTTAATTGCTAAATGTTATGAGGAAACTGATTGTTTCCAAAGAATTTTTGGTTGATCTTTGGATTATGGTAACTTGGCGATTTTTTGGCGAAAATTTGGCGACCAACTCTGCTACAGCAACCCTCTATTTTTTTTTTTTTTCCCGCCGCCGTAAAGACATGTTTCTTTTCTTTTTATTTACTGAACACTTTTTCCAACAATCTACTAGCCAAATTACACTTGTACTAGAAATTTATCTACAAAACTGCTTAATCATGACAAATATTCACTGCAAAATTGGGAAAAAGTGCACAATCGCAAACTCCTTGCGCGTTTTTCACAATAACACATACCATAAACCATGTACACGTCGACTTATTTTACTTAAAAAAATCCCAGAATTGCGCACCACTCTTCACACTATATCCATGTACACTGCTTTTTTTCATAATTAAAAACTTTCACGAAATTCATGACAAATTCTGAATCTTTAAACCCGGTAAAAGAACATATATGAAATTACCTGATAACGAAAAAGTATATACCCTTCCAAATATGAACATTCCACGTTATAAAATAAATAAAAATATCCAAAAACTTTTACCTCTAAATTATCTATTATTATAAACATCACCAACGAATTCATACCGTAAACATTATAAAATACTTAGTGTCAAATATTAAATTATTTCCATGCACGTTACTTCAACTTAAACGTATACCAAATTTCTACAAACATAAAATTCACAAAATAACTTCATTTAATTAAAATTCACTAACATGTACACGTCAACTTATTTTTACTTAAAAAAAACATCCCAGAATTGCACAAAAATGGCATCGCACACTCTTCACTATATCCATGTACATGCTTTTTCTTCATAAATTAGAAAAATTTCACGAAATGTGTGAAAATACTCAAGTTTACTACTCAAACGTATTCAAAATACTACAAATATATAACTCACAAATTCACGTATTAAATTAAAAAAAGACTTAAAAAATATAAATAAGCACATACATTAAATTAATAAAAATTAGATTACAATTAATTCCTTTAACTTAATCTCGCTAATAAAATTTTCCAATAATACCACATTAATTTACTCCTTACATTTAAAATAATGCATAAAAATAATATTACCTAATCTTCTTCAGAATTTTCATTACGTGGCTGCAGTACTACTGCTAATTTCTAAATCCTAAATCCAGTAGTCAACTGAAAGTCTATTCACCAACTAATAAGAAATTAATAAAAATTTCACCTATACTCAACTACTTTCAGCAACCACGTACCCTTCCTTACACTCTGTTTCACAAATGTCCATTTTCACCATATTTCTTGCACCGCCATTTAACTACTGTAATATCCTTCCTTTCACACATCTCAACTTATTATTATCAGATAAACGCATTAAAAAATTTAAAATTCACTTACATAGCGCCATGCAATCCGAAAATTAATCAACACTTATTTCACATAACACAAATGAAGCTTAATACAAAATAATTTTTCCAAATTAACCCCCTTTTCCGATTAAAGAACTGTAATTCATCCATTAATGTCACGTTTCACACAACACAGAATAAAGCTAAATACGAAATTTCCAGATTTCCCCTTTTTTTCCGATTAAACAACGTATTCGTCCATAATGTCACATGACATATATCATGATCTCTCATTTCCCTCACACAAAATAATGCGTAATCGGAACTGAGTGCTTCTCACATTATTACCAAAGTCCTAGGTAGTAACCTTTATCGCCTCCAAAATGTCGTCAAACTACCAGTTACCATATTCCAAAGATCAGCCGAATTTTTGGCTAAAGCCAAAAAATGCTCTTTAAATTCATTGCAATAATTTTTTTGTGTAACATTAAGTTCTTGTAAATTTTGTAGTTGCTACTTAATTGAGATTTACTAATGTAAGTACAATTTTCTTTTTTCTATTCGTATAAATAGTTTTTTTTTTTTTTTTTTTAATATCAAAGCATGATATTAATTCTTCGTGTTCTTCTGAATTTTGGAGAAATCTTCTGAATTTTTATCTTTAGAGGTTGGCAGGTATGCACGTATTATTTTTAAAGAAATAATATAACGAATGTAAAAAAAGTATGGCAAGTCTTAACACTCTGTTGGAAATTCTAAGGATAGGCTGTTTTTAAATATTTTGTAATTTAGCTGTTGAATTTTATGTGTCATAAATTCAAAGAAAGTGATGTTTGATAAATAAATAGTTAAAAAGTTAAAATACAAGAAGTTAATGATGAAAAGGAAAAAAAAAAAAAAAAAAATGATGTAAGTCATACTAAGAAAACATAGCATTGATATTGTGAACTGGAAGAAGACTGTAAAGAAATAAATGACTGTATTGAGAATTCTAAATATAGTTTGCTTTTAAAAAATTTGTGAAATAAAATTGATAAGGCAAAGAAAGCGTTAAGAGGTGTAAGTGGTAAACAGGAGTGAGCAGATTGGTAAACTGCAAGCTCAGTGGTAGCAGGGGGGGACCTTAATAAATCCATTGGTGCAATGTTAAAATTTGAATCTTTTTAGATTTTGTTTCTATCTAATTTTGCATTGGATTATATTGATTGGAAAATTTTTGTTTTATGCAAAAATCTGAATTATTCCCAATTCCAGCCAATAATGCCAATTTAGTTGTTAATGGTATAACTCTGATGAATGGTGACACTGTAATGGATGCTCATCCTGTGCAACATCATCTGTCCCACAGTCCCATTGGTTCTCACCAGACTAGCACAATTATTCCATTGGGTAAGAAATTTTATACTATATAGAAATACTAATTAAACATATTGTTACAGATTTTGTACATATGTAAATTTTTGTGTAATTGTAGTATCTTTTGTATAATGTAACATGTAAATTCTGAAAAGAGCGAAGGTCTGCTCGAAAAATAAGATTATGAGGGCTAGTCTATTTAAGTGAGATATTGCCAAGCTGGCATTGGTTCTGGCAACTAATTTTTGTCACCAAATTTGGCAAGAAATCGCCAGAAATCACCTAACTTGCCGACCATATGATGACTTTTTAGTCCGCCCCCTGTATAATTGTAATTGAATATCTGCAATCAATCTTTATGTATAACCGTAACTGTCCTTTATATATAACTTTCTATTCTCGAAATGCCTTCCAGAATTTCGAGAAATGGAAAATTGGTGTCTGGGGGAAAACTAAAAAATGTTTGACATCTCTGTACGAGTTATTTCTGTTTTCAGTGTGTTGATTATCATGCTGTGGTAAAAGCAGAAAATAATAAACAATGATTCACTAGGTTGGCACTTGTGCCAAAGTGAAATTAATCGGGATTCTCTACATGTTTTATTGTGAAAAATTAAGCCCAGTTTGAGCATCAGTTTTCATTTTTTATTTTTAATTCTTCAGCTGACTTCAGATGCCATGCAGGGCCTGTGCTAGATATTTTGAGACCCGGTGCAGTCTCTGTGAGTGCGAAATTCTGCTGAAGTGCCTCCATAAATTCTAAAAATTTTGCCACCCCTTAATTTTGTTGCTTCTTTAAATTCTAAAAATTTTGTGTCCTCTAAATTCTGCTGCTTGATGTGGCTGCACCCTCACACCACATGAGCTTGACTGAATAACAAGTCAGTTATTCTCAGTTCAAACAGCACAAAATCTAATTTCTTGACCTTTACAAAATCTATTTTTTGCATACAGAAAGAAGAAATTTCTGTTAAATTTTTCTTTATGAAATACACTATTGTTCACTTTGGAGAGCAAAGTTAGCTTAAGTATGTAATTATCGCTAAGCATAATGCCAACATGAAAGGTTACGATACTCTTTGGTTCTCATTAAAAATATTGAAGGGGAAAAAAAAAAAAAAGTTTGATATTTCTGCGCGAGTTTATTTCTCAATTTTCAGTGTGTTGATAACCATGCCGTGATAAAAGCAGAAAATAATAAATGATGATTCACCAAAATAGTGTTTCGGCTGTAGTGAAATTAAGTATTGGGACTCTCCACAGGTTTCATTATGAAAACATATAAAGTGCAAAATTGCGAAACATAAATAAATAAATAAATCTGAAAAGTGTTGCTAGTGATTCGGAGGATTATTCTTGACGTTGGGCATCTGGATTTTGGCCTTTGTACTGCACCAAACTTAAGATTTCAGACAGAAAATAAAAATAAATGTGAATTTTTTTCTTTTTGATTTTATTATTGTTGTTAATGCATGTAAGCTTTTTTTTTAATTTTGTAAATAAAATTTATTTTATTAAAAAAAAAAAAATCTGACCTATCAACTGTTTCCAGGTCATGCATTTGGCTCTCATGAAATTTGAGTTGGTTCAAATGTAGGAAAAGTGTGTGATTGGTTTTACTTAATACAAATAATGATGATAATAGCTTATCCGTTAATTTTCATTTCCGTAAAGCAGTCTTTTTTAAACCTTTGAAATGAACATTCATGCCTTATGAACCATCTAAAAAATAATTAAATATCATTCATAAAGTTCTCTTTTGTGAACCCTTTATCTTTTCTTCTGTGAGCATTTATCAAAATACTAACAAAGAGTATATTTTTCTAATAGTTGGTTTAATCGAAAAGTTGCTGATCTTGTTATTTTCTCAAATTTGTCTAAAAAAGAGGTTAGCACGTATACAATAAACAAGCAAATAACCAGTATCATATATAAGGCATATAAGCAGAACGAAAAGAGATAATATTCGCTATACAGTAGCTGCTGCTTAACGTGGTCATGATTCTATGGCTATTTTGATAACATTAATCCCTTTTCTTAATGTGATCATGTGTCGATGGCTATTTTGATAACATTAATCCATTAAGGACCAGCGGCGGGAGAAAGGAAGTGCAGTCACGGTACTGCACCCGCTGAAATGGTTTGTCGGCACCGGCCCGTGCATTTTCAGCAGTTAAGCCTAATTTTACAAAAAAAAAAAAAAAAAATCTTATAAAATCAGCATATTGATATTAAGACTTCAATTTTTGAAGTTGCGTATTTAATGTACCTGTTTTTAATGTGTATTAATACAAAGAATATCACATTAATAGAAATAAATTAAACAGGCAAAATATTAAAATCATTACTATGCACACAGAAATAAGTACTATAACCATGAAAAAAATTACAAATTAATTTAAAAAAAACTAAACAAGAATTACCTGTAAGTAATTAAATTCCAATTTCAGAATTCTGCTGTGTGTGAAATAATTCAAAGCATACTTCGCACTCAAAATACGTTGTTTGCTTTCGCTTTTCCTTGGTTTTAGCGCACACAGTGCATCTTCTCTTACTTTTATTACCTTTTTTGTCAACGTAAATTTTCAGAAACTGTCTTCCAGTTAGTTAGACAGAAAGGTGGAGCTTCCGGTGATTTTGGACAAATTTTTAAGTTAAGGTCTCTTAGCCATGGCTAACGGAATGAAACTGAATATAACCCCAACACATGTCCTGAAACTTCTTCCAAAGACACTCAGAAATATTTCATCCTCAAACGTGTGACATCAGGTTTTATTAGAAAACTCCGTTTTCCTAAATCGAAAACAGCATCCGAGACGAAAGTGATAAGGAGACCCCTCTGGCAAGATATTGTACTGATATCGTCAATATATAAGTTTATAGTATAATTATATGTAAAGTAAATACATTATATCCAAAATTAATGCCTGTGTTGGTATATATGACCTTTAAATCGAGTAGAAAGAAAAACGTTGGGCTTCCTGAGAATGTGAGCAATACACATATGTGTCGAGAAACTGATAGTTTTCTCTTGAAATGTTGTATGTACTTTTTACACGCTGATGCAACATCTTTTAGGCAACCGTCGGCCACGCTCTATAAAAGCGCTGGTATGAAGGGCCAGCATCTATTGCAGTAGAAGATAGTTTACGTTTGGAACGTGATTCCTATAGGTATTCATTCAACACGTTACGCGCAAAGTCTGTTTTGTAAATAGTTACATTGTATAGAAAGATATTACGAAGCAGAAAATTAGCATTACTGAAGTCTGGAAAGAATTAGCACTATCCCTTACAAGTTGTGAAAAAGAAAATATTCCATTGAACAGAAATGCAAGAATATCTAAAAAATGACAGCATAAACTCCAAAGAAAACCAGGAAAAGCCTCTGAAGTATGGAAATATTGTAAATTAAGTTATGAATAAAATGCAACTGAAGCTTGCAAAGTAATGGCCAGAAAAAAGACTAAGACAGTTGTCACAATTTGTAATAGCTGTAATGGAGAACCGTTTATGATTACTGTTTCATTGAAATTCATAGTCCTTAATGAATCAAATAATAAATTTTAATAATTTTTCGTAATTCCATAAACAGGGTAATTGTATGTATATAGGGTTCGTAGCGGTCCTTATAGTGCTTATAAGTCTGAATTTGAAAATAAAAATAAAATAGGGAGTACTTCTTTAAAGCCTCATTTTTTTGCTTTTAGCTTTTTCTTTTTTTTTAAAATAACGCGTATTTTTTCATTCCAAAGCCCGAAACCTAATAGGAATGTAGTGGTGCTCTAATCGGAAATCGCTTTCCCCTTTATTGCATAACATAACCTTGGGAGCGCACAAAGAGTACAGACAGGTGCCCGTCGTTCTTTTGATCAAAGAATTGCGAAAACAGTAGAAAATTCCGCTACACCTCGGCATTCTTTTCCTCCCTCCCAAATGCTACACACGTTTGAATTTCTATCAAGATCTTAAAATTTTGCATTCTCGTTCCGCTTGGTCAATTCATATTAGTGTTTATTATGATCATTATGCTTATATTATGAGCATATGTATGAATGTTTATAATAACATAGTTGCAGTAAATGCTGAAGTATAGTAAACTTCCAAAAATGGTTGTGTTCCAAAATGGTTGTAGCTCCATTTACTGGCTTTTAAAAATTCAAATAAATCGTTTCGTTTCAATGTTGCATATACACGACGCTGGGCTGGTAAGAATAGAATCGTTGCGCTGCGTATACGGGACGCTGGCCCCGAACAGGTTAAGGATGAGAATAATATCCTTCAAAATATCGGTAGAATTTAACAACTTAATATAGCTAAAAATATATAAGTGAGTACTTTCATAGCTTTTAATTATTAAAATGGAAAAGATTTTTATTGCATATGCATAACTTTTCTGGGAATTATTTGACCAGTTTATATACCCTCAATCTTGACCCTTTCGGGATGGGTGTTCCACGTAGACATTCCCTGTGGAACGTCTCTTGCAGCCATTTTTACAGAAAACTCCACTTATCAGGTTGTCCGGAAAATAATGCAGGTTTTTAACCTATATCTTTAAAGTATAACTCAAAAACATTTTATTAATCAAAATAAGTACCAGCCGAATCAAGCATATTGCTGGAAGATGTAAATTTTTATGCGGTAGAATAAAATTGGAGTTCGGACGCATTAAGTTGTCAAAGGCGTTTCTGACCTCGTCTTGGTTTCTGAAGCATTTTTTCTGCAGAATGTTATCCAGATGTTTGAAAAAGTGGTAATCAGTCGGCGATAAGTCAGGTGAATATGGGACAAGAGGGAGAGTCTTGTATCCCAATTCGTTCAATTTCTGTAGGGTCAGTTGCACGACGTGTGGTCGAGCATCGTCATGGAGAAGAACTGGCCACTTTCTGTTGACCAATGCCAAGCACGTGCGTTGCAATTTTTGGTGCATTTCGTTGATTTGCTGACAGTACTTCTGTGCTGAAATCGTTTCGCCCAGATTTAGGAAGCTGTGGTGAATGAGACCGGCCGCAGATCACCAAAAAGTCACCA